CCCCAAAACCCCAAAACCCCAAAACCCCAAAACCCCAAGCAGGGGTTAAACAATAGAGTTAAATACAAGATGAATAAAACCTGACAAGTTTAATATTTTGCCATCAATATGCAAGTTACTTTTGTGCCTCTACCTTCTTGGGACTCTAAAGTGATGTCTCCTCCAAGCTTCTGCAAGATCTTCCTGCAGATGGTCAACCCCAGACCGCAGCCAGTCTTGTTACGGTTGTGGTTGGAGCTGGTCTTGCCGAATAGCTTGAACAGAGAGGACTGGTCGCTCAAGGGGATTCCGATTCCTGTGTCTTCTACCGTTAATTTGAGCTTTAATGTCCTGGTAGGCTCTAACTCTGGTTCATTAACCTCATCTGAGTCCGATTCAGAAACTTTGTGATCCTCTTAAAATTAACTTAGAACAATACACATACCTCTGGAATTAATTATCAATGATTCCTCTTGATTATCAGGATATCAAGAATATTGGCTGATTCTTGGTATCTGAGGCCTAGAAGTATATTCCTGATTGACACTTTCATATCAAGAATCCACTTTGTCTTTCACAGATCCATTCTGAAAGTTGAAATATGTGTCATATTTACTTTCTTCTTTATCTTCTTCTTTTACTAAACAAGTGTCATTGAAGGTTAAAATATGAAAAGTTTTGAGTCAAAGTGTATGATCGACAGCATAAGCATATATCCAAGTGAAAAACTAATGTAAGAAATAATATTTACCTATAAATCATTGTCTTTTCTCTCGGACTTGCTCCAAAGTGACCCTGATGGCACCTTTATCAGTAAATTTGAGAGCATTAGAGAGCAAATTCATCATAACTTGCTTGATTCTTTGCTTATCTGACTTGATCAGCAACTCACCAAAGCCATCAGGGAGATTGAAAGTGAGTCTGATCTTTCTCTTAGAAGCCTGTAGCTCAAATATATCTTTAATTTCATTGATAAGTTTGTTGACTCTGAAGACTTCTTCCTGAACTTGGAAAACTCCTGACTCAATCTTGGCATGATCTAGGATATCTTCTACTAGAGAGCTTAAGATACCACAACTCGAAGATGCAATTCTTAGAAGCTTTGCAGGAGGGCCTTTAATTTGCTTGCGAAGAAGTATGAGACTAATAGACATGGCATTGAGTGGAGTCCTAAACTCATGCGACACATTTGCAAGCATCTGCTTTTGGTATCTATTTTGTGCTCTTTGTTCCTCTAGTTGAGTGATTTGGGTGGTATCAATGAAAATATGAAGAAATAAACACTTTTTAGGATTTTCTGGATCGTTTTGGGAGACACTCCTTGTCTTAATAATAAACTCTCTTCCTATCATCTCAATGCCATCTATGTGGTTGAATTCATCAAAATAAAGAGTAATTTTCGTTTCTCTTTCCTCTTCATCTTGCCTTCGGAGATCCGCTCTTTCTTGTTTTAAAAAATCATGAAGAGTTATATCGTTATGATCTCCTATTTTAGCTTTCTTAACCAGTAATGGATGGTTATAGAAATTGAAATGATTACTCTGAGCAGACTTATTCAAGCAGCTAGGGACCTCCCTTGCGCTACTTCCGAGTTCAATCTTGTGCTGTGGCTTAAGGACTTTAAAATCTTTACTCAGTAGCCTAAAGGCGTCATTTGCAATAGAACTTTCATTAAAGCCTGCAATAATTTTTTTTTGGGAGTCTTCAAATTCTCTATTAATTTGAGCCTTAATCGCTTCTAAAGCTCTAATATTGCTGTCAGGTCCGCAGAACAAACTGGTATCTAAGGTCTGTCTAAGCTTGAGGTTATAAAATTTAAATTGAGAATCATCATCGTCAATAATTCATACACCTTCAGGCAAGCTTTTTAGGAACTGTTTGAAGTCTTTTGATGACTCTTCAGCCTTGTGGTTCGCACAAAACTCTCTTTGTAATGTGCGAGAGTTGAGATAAGCTGCAAGAGCATAAAATATGACTGCTTCTCATAGTCCGATTTTAAGAGAATGAGGAATGTTATCAAACACACAGTACATCCTAGCAAAATAATAAACATAGCAAAGTGCTAGGATAAGAGTAGTAGCAAGCCAGTCTTCAGACACTCAAGTCGAGAACACAAAGCTTATCGCAATCTGTGTGATGAATCCTTCATAAACCCTAAAAACAATGAAATCTTGAGAATTTTTATTTAAGAAAGGAATGTTAATGATATAAGAAAAGTTTACCAATATTGGACTGATATATAATTCAGCCTTCCGAGATGTTCAGACGAGCTCACTAGCATTAATAAAACACTTTTACCACATAAATATTATTACATTTCAAGATGAAATGCATGACATCAGGGAATTTTATACACCGTTTTATGAGAGGGTTGACGAAATATTTAATAAGCGAGTGCTATTATTAGCCATATGGTAATTTTGTTGTATAAACACAAAAAAAACAAATTGCGAACTGCTAGGTTACTTAAAAAGGTAGAAAATTATAAATAAGCTTACCTATACTGACCAAGGTTTACATTCACTTCAGTATTTGCAGCCACCAGGATGCAAATGAATATGACTCCTGCATTCTTGGCAGCCCAGTCATATTTCTGGACAATCCTTTGGAAGAAGATGCAGGTCAAGAAAAGTAAGAACAGAATGGATGTCCTTACCACAAAGAGGGAAGAACTCTGTTCATCAATGCTGAGGGCTACAATAACAATGACTATGAGAACTTTGAACAGAAGAATAAGGGCCTTCCAGTTGTCCCTAATCATAGCAAGCCGCTTCTGATTGTATTTCTCCCTGGCATCTTTGTCTTTAATAGTAATGGACTCACGTTCATGCTTAAAATCTTCCAGAATTTTTTTGATGAATGAGGTAAACTGCTTTCTGTGTAATAAATTAATTCAGTCATCTCTTAAATTATCAACCAATATTTGAAGAATAAATGGTTATCAACAATTATGAAAAGTTATGGATGCAGGAAATTTGTCTTGAAAATTGTCAAAAAGATAGCCTCTCACCAATAATAAATGTATAATTATTATAGAAACTGAATTAAAAGCCATATTATGAAAGAAATTTAGATTGGAAACTAGCTTAATGAAATTACTCATTAGCTATATCTCATTGGAGATGAACATTAGTAAAACTCTAATCAATTGGGAGGCACTGGCCTTACCACTAAAGCTTTCAAGTGCAAGTAAAAGTAAGCTAGAATTACTCAAATCTCGAATACTGAATTCACAGAAAGAACCTGAGGGTGTGAACAAGCATTGGTTATGTCCACTTACTTCAAGCTAAATTTCATTTTTGTTCCAAATAATGATATTAAATTGTTTTATTTCCTTTACTTATGCCTCCCAGGGGTTTTGGGGTTTTGGGGTTTTGGGG